TTATGACATGCATCATTCTATCAGATCCATTTTCAATAGGCAGTGTCCTCATAGCAGCAAACAGAGCTCCCTTCACTCTCAGAGGCGTTACCTTAGAAAGATGGTGTTAAAGATGCTGCCCTCTGTACTCATTTTAGACACAAGTAGAGATGGTGGTTGTCCTGGAAAGAAAACTGTTAGTTGGTAGTACTTTTAAGACTATAAAAGGAAAGAACACATATGTTAACATTGTTGCTAAATCGACCTTAGTTATGGAAAGCTTTGAAAAAGATGTGAGTTTGGATACTTAGGGTGTAGATGAATGCAGGCTGTGTGCTCTGAGTCTACACCACTCATTCAGTAAATAATTATTGGGGGTCTACTCTGTGCCACTGTTGCCAGTGTCTAGTGACGGATGTGACAAGCAGTTTATTGCCTGTTGGGTGAGATAGACGTTTAAATAAGAACTTACAAGCCAGGCACTGTGGCATGCACCTGTGGTCCCAGCTGTCCGGGAGGCTGAGGTAGGAGGATCCTTGAGCCCAGGATTTGAGCCCAGCCTGAGCAACACAGAGAAACCCTGTCTGAAAAAAAAAAAACAAAACCCCGCTTGCAGTACATACAGCTGATAAGTTGTTTGATATGGGAAAAGCAAGTACTGTAGGGATACAAGATGCAGCATCTGGCAGCTGTGGGTAGATTAAAGAAGGCTCCAGAGGTGGTGGTGTCCAGCTGGCCTCTGGAGAGTGGGAGTAGGGCAGGGTCTCATCTGGAAGGGGAGCGTGTTCTGAGGAGCGGGGTGTGCAGGGCGTGTGGCTGCAGATGTACCAGAGGGCCAAGCGGGGGGCAGTCTGGAAGTGCTTATGCCAGGAGCAGGGGCTGGGGGGAGTGGGTGCCTTTGGATTTGGGACCTATGGCTGAGAATGGGGTCAGGCGACGAGTACGAGAGGTGGCGCTGCCCTTGTGTGCACAGCGACTGTGCAGCTGGAGGAGCAGGTGGATTGAGAGCGGCATGGATAGCGGCAGGGAGTAGATTGAGGAGCTGGTGGGTGGTGGTGTCTTTTACCACCTCAGGGAGCACGGGAGGAGGAGCTCGTTCTGGGCGGGTCATGATTCCATTTCAGATATGTGTTAATTTGAGGTATTTGTTAGGATATGTGTGAGGCCGCTGGTTAGATTGATCTTAAACTCAAGACAGATCTGGACTAGAGATAAAGGTTTTGGATGTTTGTAGCCTAGATGGTCCTTGAAAGTCCTGGAATGGAGCGAGGTTGCCCAGAAATACAGTGAGCAGAGAAGGTGACTTGGAACCAGGGGGACCAGAGGACGTACTGAAGGGACAGTCTGGAACACCGCAGTGGCAGGCACAGTACTGGGAGGATGGGACGATCATGGCAAACATTGCAGGAATCAACTCAGGAGAAGACTCAGAAGTGCTTGTTAATAACAGGCATTGAGGGCGACTGGCTGGGCAGGTCAGTGGTGTGAAGCCAGCGTGGCCATGAAGAAGAAGTAGTCGGGGCAGCGGCTGCAGAGCTGTCTGTGCAAAGGCCATCTACAGCTGATGGGGACCTGGAAGTGGAGGCTGAAAGTCTTGGAGGAGGAGGTGGATTCAGAGTGGCTGGGTGTGGGTCAGCCTTGGGGGGCACGCGGAGGATGCAGCAGAGCTGATGGCAGGAAGGTGAAGCAGCTCACTGCCGACAGGGCCTTCTCTTCCGAGCCAGAGGGAAACACGTGGAGGGGGCGGAGGGGTCCAGGCTGGAGGTCGGGGGGGCAGTGCAGGACCAGCTGGGGTGGGACATTGTAAAGTTGAGGGCGGCACTCAACGTTACATCATGGTGATGTTCTTGTAGATTTTTTAACATTTTGTGGCCATTCAGTTGCATTTTTGTTTCCAAATGTGACATTAAAGAATCTAGAACATTAATCAATAGTGGAGAAATTGTGCACTAAAGAAAATCAGAGCTTATAAAATAGAATTGATAATTTAATTACTGTATATCTGTTTTCAGACTGACTTCAAGCCAGAGAAAAATTCCTGGTTTCATTAATAGGAGCTGAAAAGTGAAATGTCAAGGATGTTAGCAGAAGTTTATGATGTGCTCCTAAAATCCAACGTCTTATTCAGATACTGTTGGATTGATTGTCAGTTTGACTCCATGAGAACTGCTCTGGAGGAAACCTCAGAAATACAGCCTAAAAAGAACAATACAAACTTGAGTTTTCGTGGAGCTGAGCTTCTTGCATTACGTATAGAGAACTGACCTGGAGCTAGAAGATAAAGAGTAGCCACAAAAAGATGTTTATGCTTCATTGACAAATATAGGGTCCCCCAGAGAAAGTACTGAGAGTAGCCTAATTAACATTTTTATAAGGAATACATGATTAAATCTACTGTTTTGTCAGTCATGTTATCTGCTAGAATTGTCAGGATGGGCGAGTATAAACTGGATAGCTGTGTCAAGAGGCTAGGAAAGAAGCAGTTGGCGTTTGCTGTGAGTAAGTGCAGAGCAGTGCTCAGCACATCCCCAGAGAGGGCGGATTCAGAGACGCTAGATGTTGTGGTGAGACCTGAGTATCGTGACATGTCATTTTTAACGACACTAGTCAGTTTGTTTCCCAATGAAAACATCCACTAAAATTCTGTCATAAAATTAAGAAGATAAATAAATCCCCTCCACAAATGGTATCTAAACTATTTCATATAACTTTGCTACACCAGAGAGAAATCAAATTACATCCAAGAAATATCTTGAGGACCAATATATGTGCACTCCTGTGTGCGTGTCGAATGTTGTAGATATGCACAGGCCGTTCTTGGGGAGAGACCACCTGGCTTCAGATTATTCATCATAGACTTGTGGCTTCAGCCGGGATGGATATAGTCCTGTTATTCGAGCTCTGGGTTAAAACCCAAAATAGAGTTACAAATGGTAATTATTTCCCTTAGAAGGTTACTTAAACTATAATATAGCTGAATATCACGTAAGACAACATTTTAGTATATCCTTCTACACCGAAAATTAATTTTAATTGAAGAGGCTTTGAGTATTGGAAATCTTAGCTCCTGTTTACAGTTTTAGTAGGGAATAGTATGTTCTTCCTTCTAGGCTTTCAGATGAGCTATTGGAACGTACACTCACCACGTCACGGTCTGTGGACTGCTGACAGGAGGAGAGCCGTTCGGGGTGTGGCGCACGTAGCTGTGCTGCAGGGAGGTGCACAAGCCGCAGGCACTGGGCAGGGGCTGCTGGGCCTCTCATGGCCTCAGAGGCGAGATCGTTCTGTGTGGCCCTGGAAGTCATAACTCACCGTGTTTAACTGTCTGTGGAGCCACGTCAGGAACACCGAGGACCCTTTGCAGAGTTTTGAACTTTGTAAGTCAGTCTTGGACATGCCTCTCGCGTATCCAGTCATAGCCATAGCGGTTGGCAGGGGAGGTGCCGTGAGCCTCGAGTGCATCGCGCCCGGTGATGTTCTCGGCCTGAGCGTGGCTGTGGAGGGAAGGCCCTTCTGGTCTCTGTGTTGGATTCCGTTGCCACCTCCTCCCTGTTCATTGCTGGAGGGGCGATATGTCATTGCCCCTGTCTCCAAAAAATTAATTTGACCCACCTGAAAGGTGTGCATTATCCAAGTCTGTCCTCAGTTATCCCTAAATAAAAATTCTGCTGCTGCTTTGAAAGCAAATTCTTTTTTTGTCTTTTGAAATTGTTTTTTTTAACTATCTTTTGTTATTGGCGGCACATTTTCATACCTTTTTTTTTTTCTCACACAGTGCTAGTATATAATGTATATCATCGTACACTTTAAAATCTGGCTCTATTCTTGGAATCACCTCCCTCACCTGACCCTTCTGTTCTTCTAGAATTCCAGCTGCTCTCTGAGGCCCAGACACCTGGAAACTGAATAACATCCCCTTCTGCTTTTTTCTTACCGTTTTCCAAATGTATATAACTCATGCATCTCAGACTGTACATCATATCAGGATCAGATTGTGTTGTTACTGGTAGTATAATCTGTACCTTTGTACAGTGTTTATACAATTCACTTATGCTTGTGTATGTGTGTCCTCTGTTTAGGAATTTAAATTTTTATGAGCCTTAGAACCATATCTCCTCCTCCCCCGCTTCTCCACTGACCAAGCAGTACACAGTGACCAGGACAGAGTCTCCCGGAGGCACTTAATCTTTCACTAGCAGAAAGGAGTTTTTTTTAAAAAAAGTATACATCACCATTATTTTTTACATACCTCTTTATATATCCCACTTATCAGTCCCTTAAGAAGAGGCAAGACTGATTTCTTGCATAATTGCATGTGTGTAACAAATTTATCTCCTTATCTAGGTAGCTAGTAATTAAGGGTGCTTGGAGATTCAATTTTACCTGTGTTATAAAGCCTTCTTGTAATTACCCAGTGATGGCCTGGCTCTGATTTGAACCGTCACATGCATTATGTAACAGTATTCTGGTATAGTCTTTGCACAAGAAATTAAAAGTGTGAGCAGAGAACTGTGCTTGGTGGTGACTTTCCAGCCTTCTGACGGTGTGTGCTCTCATGAAGGGCAAACTCAGAGTCTGAGCTCATCCCTCACTTGAAGAGACTCTTCCTTCTCACAGGTGGCAAGACCACTTTCAGTTCCTTAAAGAAAGGTCGTTTTTGTCTCCAAATTGTAAAGAAGCCATAAAATACAGCTTAAGTTTTTCAAGATACTGTGCTATTATACAATAAATTTTTTGTATTTAATTCTTAAATACAGTTATATTTTGTTTCATGCCATTCCTTATTAGGTCCTTATATTAGGTAAAGTAACCTAATACCACCTGATTAAATAACTAAATTCTTGTTTAGCTTGAACAGCACAGAAGTTGATTATAGAGAGATTGTTTCTTGCTAAGGAGTGAAGAATTAAAGCTTGTGACTTTTTTAAAAAAAGGTAGATTGCAGTTAGCAAGAGGGAAAGCATCGTGCTGATGTTAAATGTCTTTCCACTTCACGCCTGACATCGGCTGTTCTCTCGCAGAGTTCTCTGGGGTGCTGCACCAGTGTCACATTCTGGCCTCGGAGATGGTCCATTTCATCCATCAGATGCAGTATTACATCACTTTTGAGGTATTCTTTATCATCCTGTCGGTTTTAATTTAAATGGATTGTGTCTTACACTTCTATGTGACATATTTTATAAAAGATACGACACCAGGAAGAACATGACCTTGTCCAGAAGTTGCAAACCGTTGTTTCCTAGGTTCTCGAGTGTTCTTGGGATGAGCTCTGGAACAAGGTCCAGCGGGCCCAGGATCTGGACCACATCATCGCTGCTCACGAGGTGTTCCTGGACACCATCATCTCCCGCTGTCTGCTGGACAGCAGCTCCAGGGTAAGACTCTGACTTGCTGAGAAACAAGAAACCGAAATAATAATCTCCTTTTCTTGGGTTCCTGTGAAATGGAGAATCCTAGAAATCCCCGATGCAGCCACATTGGCAATAATTAAGTCAACTTTATTAGAAGTTTGGAATTTCTGAAAAGAATTAGAAGGGTAGTGCTGAAGCAAGAACATGCTCTGATGTGGATACAAACATAGTAGAGAATAATAATACCTATTCATTTCCTAGGGGGATAATAATATCCCATTGCAGTGTTCAAAAGAAAAAATTAACTGTGAATGATGATTTTGAGGTATAGAGTTACAGAACAAAATAAACTAAGCTATACAATGTGAGAACAGAACACATGATAATATACCAGAAAGTTGAGAAGAATGGTGTGAAGAAATGTAGAGTGCTCTGGGTTTTATTTTCATTTTCTTGGTCTGGGGATAGTGATCTTTTCTATATTTTACCTTCATTAAGTCAGTATCTAACTACATGAGTTAGAAAATAGATAAGAGTTAGATAAATCCTAAACGTGCCCATGGCCCTAACTTTTTGCTGACATCCCTCAGGGCCTGTGTTTTGAAAGTCGTGTGTTCCATGTGGCACAGCTTCCTAGGGTTTTGATTTTATTTAAAGGTCTGGGACAAGAAGGAGCACGTTACTTTCTCTTGAAACAAATATATCGTAAAGTAGGGGCAAAATTTCAAGTGCATTTTTTACATTAAATTTGTGAATACACTTCAGGCTTGCAGAGGTTGCTTCCAGCTACACTTCCTCCAAGGGCCCCTCACTGGAAAATGCACTGCTTTAGGGCTTTTATTTATCTCAATTTTAGCATGGCCAAGAAGATAGATATTTCAGTACACAGAATTTCATTATTAAAGAATTATCAGTTGGATGTGTAAAAACATTGCTCGGATCAAAAACGCTTATATAGGATGCTTACATAGAATGTTTTGTATGTTTTTATAAATATATTGAAATAATGGCACAAAATTAATTTAAAATACTTAGAATATAATTAATAATTTAAGAAATGTATATCTCAAGAGGTTTGGGGACCTTTTAACCTCTATTAACAAACCTAAATCAGGCTAAAATTATAGAAAGTCTCATAGATTCTGTCAGTTGATGTTTCTTTGTTGAGTAGGAGTTGGTCAGTATCCTCAGCCACTGTTAGGTACGTCGATGTGGTGACCAACAGGACAGGGTTCCTAGACCCATGGGCCGTGGCGGGTCACGTGGTAGACAGAACAGGGCTCTGTAGGCAAATAGACCGAGGGCCATCCTGCTTAATAGCTTTTGACTCCAGTGTTCTCCTGTTTTCAAGGCCGTGATATTAGTCTCTCTTCAACAGATTTGTGAGAATTCAATTACATAATCCAACTAAAACGTTTCTCATAGTGGCTGGCACATAGGGTTAGTTGCGTTTGTTTTTAAACAAAAGTCATCATGTGTGCGTACATTTCAGAGGTATTTACAATTACTAGATTTAATGCTTTCTAGAAAATGTTTGAATTGCTGAGGGTTATTCCCACACTGTTATCAGTCTAATAATTGTGGTAAATAAGTAGCAGTCCATGCAGCTGATGGATAAGATAGGAGTTTTAGCCCACAGATAGGAAAATTCAGTGTGAAACAAGTTAAATTGTCATAGTTCTTGCCTCTAGACTATTTCTGCTGATATGAACAATATCCAAGGGGGAAGATATTGCTATCTGTAGCATAATGTTCTCATGGAAACACGACATATAAATGGAACTTGGTTCCCACTAACTTCATTGAGGGAGTCATGCAAAAGGCTTAATAATTATTTCTGAAATTGCCTTTGCTTATAGTTTAACTCTTAATTTGATGATTTGTTTGAAATAATGACTAGAGGTTTGTTTTTTTTAAGAAATTCACTGTATAAAAGATTAAAACAATCTGTTACTGATATAAGTTATTTCGTGTATAATATTTTTTATTATATCAGTTACTAAGAAAACCAAGGCTGTTCTGATACATATAATTTTGAAGTTGGAGATTGTGGCTTGACATTGCAGGTTTGTGTACACTTTTGTATTTTTTGTTTGCGCGGTGTCGAGAAAAACCCTGAATCATGTCATGACTTGGTGCACACTGATGTCGCCACAGAACAGCCTCTGCACATGCCCTGTGTGCACGGGTTGCTAACGGAGCCCTTGTCTCACACCCTTAGTGCCAAGTAAAAGTCAGTAAGGTAAACTAACTGTTCCAAAGATAATAAATTGGTTTTTATTTGACTACAATAGAGAAATGAATTAGAGAAATAAATATTTATTAAAAACAAAAAATTAAACCATCTCTATCTTTTATTTTGCTCCTTTGTCATAAGACCTCTCCAGGAGGAGAAACAACTTTCAGAATATGTTTACTGTATTGATCACATGGTTGCCTCACATTAGGAGCAACACCATTTAATCACATCCCTCTGTCATTTGCCAAATCAAATCTAAGTTGTTTTTGTTGCTGTGTAATTTGAAGACCTTGTTTTGCCCAAGTACATTGTAGTAAATGAAAGAGAGTGTGAATTGTTCACTTTGCAATAACCAAGCTCTCTTGCATTGGCTTGTTCTGAAAGCCATGTGGCAAATGTTCATTTCAGTTTTGTCTCACTTAAGATCAGATATTAGCTCAACTGTCAATGGTGCTACAGTGACTTAGCAAATGAATTTTGAACCCAAGTATTGCTGTCCCTTCAAAAAGGAAAATATTTTAGTGGAATAGAATGTAAGTCCTTCAGCCAACTGGTGATGAGAAGTGGCATTCATTAACTATAAAGTTGTTTTAACAATAGAGTTAGCTCAACTTGTTTTTTGTTTTCTTTCTTTCTTTCTTTCTTTTTTTTTTTTTTTTTTGAGACAGAGTCTTGCTCTGTCACCCAGGCTAGAGTGCAGTGGTGTCATCATAGCTCACTGCAACCTCAGACTCCTGGGCTTAAGCGATCCTCCTGCCTTAGCCTCCCAAAGTGCTAGGATTACAGGCGTGAGTCACTGCACTCAGCCTCAACTTGTTTTAACAATAGAGTTAGCTCAACATGTCAGTTTCTCTCCAGATCAGCTATATTGTGTCTTCCCAAGCATGGGCCAGGAGCCTCTCCAGTTACCTAGGTCTCTTTTATGCTTCTCAATACAATTATATCATTTTTCTCCCATACACTTCTTACAAATCTTTTTTTAAGATTATTACTACATTTGTGAAGTTTGGCTAGTCTGGAATGCTGTTGATTTTGTTACTTTGATCTTTTATCTATTTCTCTATTCTAGTATTTTCTTGGCACATATTTTTTACAGGTAGAAACTCTTGTTTCTTTCATTCCACACAGTCTGCCTTCTGCTGTGTTTCTTCCCTTAGAGTGTCAGCTAGCTTAACGCCAAGCACAAGGGGATCCCTGTCTTATTCCCAGTGTTGAAGGGATGCGTTATTGTTTCACTGTTGGCAGTGATGTTTGCAGAGACATCTGGTAGGACCCTCTTGTGCTTTGTTGGGTCTAATCTCAACTCCCGCCTCCCCATTTCCCACCATTTACACCAGTTTCAGTGTCTTTTTTGTGTGGCCTTTTCTTTCCCTGTTACGCTAGGAGAAAGATTAATAAAAATAATGGTAGATGTATGCTGAAGAATACTGTGCAGCAGTTATAAATGTGCTATGACATTGATATGTTTTAAAACATTAAGAGCTTTTTCCTCAGTGTTAAGCCATCCTTTTATTCCTGGTATAAAATGTGATACCAGTTTTTTTTTTTTTCCATAAACCTTGCTGAATTTACTTTTGATATTTTACTAAGAATATTTTTTCTTAAGGTTTCCATTATCTGGTTTTGATATATCTAAAAAAAAAACTGCTTCAGGTGCTTTCCTAGTTTTTCTAATCCTTGGAATAGTTCCACTCATAACTACCTACTGTCTAGCTTTGAAATTTGGGGTAGAGCTTCTTTTTTGTAAGGTTTTTGTGAGAATTGGAGATGATTTGCATAGAGAGCTTGGCACCCCGTCAGACTTAGTAAGTAGCATTTGCTCTTGTTATGGTGAGTGCAGGGTTGTGTTTCCCTAGTACCTTGTACAGGGCTGCTCGGGAGTAGCTGTTCAGTAAATGTTTGCGAAGTGAATGAACAACTAATGAACACTTTGAGAATTTGAGTTGATACCTTGTTTTATAGTATCTTTTTACTAATTGTCAGTATTTTATTTAGAAACAGTAAGCATGTTGAGGCTCTATTCATAAAAAATTGTCTATCTTTTTAGGCACTTTTAAACCAACTTAGAGCTGTATTTGATCAAGTTATTGAACTTCAGAATGCTCAAGATGCAATATACAGAACTGCTTTGGAAGAATTACAGAGACGATTACAGTTTGAAGAGAAAAAGAAACAGCATGAAATCGAGGTATGGTTTTTATACGAGTTTATCAATTTTAATAGTAAACTTCTTGCCACAGTGATCACAAGTGGCAACAAATAACTGTGCTGCAGAAATCTTCATACAAGGTTAGATGTACTCACTGCATTCAGGGTCCTAAGGAAGTACTGACTGTTCTAATGATGGAAGGGTCATCACTGTCATCATCATGTTGGAAAAAACAAAGACAGCATTTAGGAGAGTCACAAATTCTTGCCAGTTTTCATTAGTAAGTATTGAGATGCTGACATCATCTGTGTTGGTGTCTGCACACCCCAGCTCTGCATTGCTTTTACAGAGCTGGTGGATTGTGCACTGTGATTTGTTTTGCAAATGTTGTATATATGCAGATGGGATTATGTCACAATAAACCTGCCATAAATTGAAAATATTTTAAGTTGAAAACGGATTTAATACAAGTTGAACACCTCTAATCTGAACTCTGAAATGCTCCTAAATCTGAAACTTTTGAGCACTGACGTGATGCCACAAGTGAAAAATTCACACCTGACACCTTTGCTTTCTGATGGTTCGGTGTACACAAATTTTGTTACACGCACAAAATTATTTAAAATATTGCATAAAATTAACTTCAAGTTCTGTGTATATGGTGTATATGAAGCATAAATGAATTTTGTGTTTAGACTTTGGTCCCATCCCCAAGATATCTCATCATGCAAATATTCCAAAATCCGACATTTGAAACACTTCTGGTCCTAAGCAATTCAGATAAAGGATACTCAGCCTGTATCCCGATAAACCCATCCTTAAGTCAAAAAATCTTAAGTACAGCCATCTTAAGGTGGAGCCCATCTGCGTATGTATATGTATCTATGTGCATATGCATATGTGTATGTGTGTACATGTGTGTATCTACATGTACACATGTATGTGTATATGTGTGTGTGTGTGTTTGTATGAACCAAATTTCTACGCTTTAGGTTATTTTCAGTGACTTTACCAACATATGTCTTCACCAACATGTGTCTTCAGTGACCTGGAATTGGGAAGATTTATTAAGCAAGTTTGGCTGTTTTTAAGATTTCTTTGATATATTATGATCTGTATAATCTTTTAGTTTTTTAAGATGAAATCAAGTGTCACATAATGACCTTTCAGTCAACGACAGACCATGTATATGATAGTGGTCCCATAAGATTACAACACCATATTTTTACTGCACCTTTCTTTTATCTTTTTTAATCTTCTTTTATTAATTTTTTATTTTTTATTCTTTTATTCTTGTTCATCCTAATTTGTCCTAAGCACCTTTCTATGTTTAGATACAAATACTTGCCATTGTGTTACAGTTGCCTACAGTATTCAGTACAGTAACATGCTGTGCAGCTTTGTAGCCCAGGAGCAACAGGCTGTGCCATACAGCCTAGGTGTGTAGTAGGCTGTACCATCTTGGTTGTGTAAGTGCACTCTATGTTCACGCAATGAGGACGCTGCTTAATGATGCGTTTCTCAGAATGCACCCCTTCATTAAACAACGCATGACCATACTTACTCTGGGGATGGTCAGACAAATTGTTGAGTGAATACGATTTGGTTATTACTTTTAAGTATTGTTTCTCTTAAAACCTGCGTTAGAGGACCATATTTAGTGGAAAATCCACAACCACTGAAAGCACGACTTATTTCTTTGGTATATTCTGGAAACATTTGTATGGCAAAGTCATCTCATCATCCAGAGTAGTGTGTTGGTGATTCTGAAGTGTGGTAGAGTTTGCATGCACGGTGTCTCTTGGGCCTTGCCCAGGCAACCCTATGGATTGATGTAAGTCAGACAGGCTGAAGATTCGATCCTAACTCTGTGACTTCTGGCTTTGTGCATTTGGATGACTTAATTTCTCTAAGACCTAGTTTCCTTATTTGTAAGATGGGTGTGATAATAAATATGACCTCATAGGGTTATTTATTTACACGTGATAATGTATATGAATTATTTAGCATTCGGTAAACATTCAATAAATGCTAGCCACTGCTGTTATTTTTAAAACTGCCCACATGGCCCAGAGAATCTACCCTTCTGGAGAGTTACTAAGCTGTAAAAATCTACAAAAAACCAATCCTTAGGATTTGAACACTCCGATAATAATACGTTGGCCAGTTGTACAGGGCTTGATGGTCTCTTTGGACCACTAGCCATCAGCAGAGCCACATAACAAGTTCAGGTTTATCAGAGTAGATTACGCAGATGTGCCGAAGGATGTGTGAAGGGAGATGAAACCTAAAACTACATGTGAAAAGTGATTTAAATTCATAGGCAAAATAAACTTTGAGGCAGTCATTTAGACCTGAGGTCCATGGAAGTTCTGAAGAGATTATGTAAGCAACTCATAGAAGATTCTGGTATCCTGCTGACATGTGTTGCAATGGAGTTGGCTTCTGTTTGCTTTACTCACAGCATTGTCATTTTTTTCTTCTCATGTTGCTATTAGGTAGAGGATTCCCAAAGGGTCCTCCTCCTCCAGTTCGTGCTTTTCTCTGTTTTCTTCCACTTTTTCTTCTCAGATCATTTATAATGATTTTTCCAACTCAAATTTAGGATAAAAGGGCATTTCATTTTTAAAATATACTTTAAATGTTGAAAATCTTGGTCTCCAGTGTTGTCATACTTAGTTACTTGCTCTCTCACAGTACCCACGTCCGTGCACATGCCCATACACACGGCCTCCTCAGAATGAGAATCCTGATACTGCCACCACAGTATAGTTTTGAAATAGTTTTACTTTTTTTTGCAATTCTTTTTTTTCCCTTAGAATATATCCCACAGGTAAGTGCATTCAAATTCCATGTGATGATGTCCCTTGAAATAATTGCTCTCATAAGGTTATGCCACAGACTCAGTGCACAGTTACATCAGTTGGTTTCATTTTGGCTTTTAATTTCTAGGGATTATTTTATTCATAAAACAAAAGTGAATATAATTTTGAAAGATATTAACCTGATTCCAAAGTCGAATTTACAAAACAAAACATTTAGACAGGTCTAACTTTGTCACTCTCTGCTCTTTAGACTAATTCTCATGAACATGGAAGTAAAAACCCAAAGTGTCACCAAACTGTGATATACCAACAGGATAGTACGGTACAGACAAATTTAAGCTTGTTCCAAGAATACAGTCCTCTTTATTATTCTAATAAAATTATTGTAATTCACATTTACAAACTAAAGGGGAAGAATTATATGATTATCTCAATAGATGGAGAAAGTCATTTAATATCAAATAAAATCTGATAAAAGGTTTGCATGAAAAATCTATAGCAAAACATCATACTCAGTGGTGAAATATTGAAAGTGTTTCCCTAAGATAGAAGACACGCTACTTTTGCCCTGATGGTGCCAGTCAGTGTTGCAAACCAAGAAGAAGTATGGAGATACGGAGTGAAAGAAAAAAAACCTGTCTTTTTTTTTTTTTTTTTTTTTTTGCAAAAGTTATGGTTGTAGGCATGGACAATCCAAAGTAATCTTCAGATAAATGATTGGAATTAATAAGTGAACTTAGCAAGGTAGCTGAAAACAAAGTCATTATGCAAAAATCTGTTGTATTTCTATTATCAATAAACAAAGTGAAATTTTTAAAAAAAATGCCATTAAAAGAGCATTAAAATGTAACAAATGTATGTAAGTCCTCTATACAGAAAACTGTGAAACAGGGTGTGGCAACCTAAGATTCACAGGCCAAATTTGGCCTCACATCTGTTCCTGTAAATAGAGTTTTATTGGGACAGCCCCGCCGTTTTGTTATTTGTGCCATTGAAGCTGACTTGAGTAGTTGCAAGAGAGACCATGTGGCCTATAAACCTTTAAAACATATACTGTCTGGCCTTTTACAGGAAAAGGTTTACTGATGTCACCCTGCTATAAAGCATCATTGAGAGGTATTAAATGGATTCTAAATAAATAGTGGAATGATGTGTTCATGGATTGAAGAATTGATACATAGATTCAGTGAAATCCCAATTCTAATCTCAACAATTACTGTTTTTGGTAGAAATTGATAAACTAATTCTAAAATTTATGTGGAAATACATAAGGCCTAAAGTAGCAAAAAGACTATTGAACAAGAACAAAATTAAAGGATATACATTTATAAGTGAGTATACATACATGCTCAAGACTGAAAATTACAGTAATTAAAAGTGTGGTGTTGGCTTAAGGAAATGCATCAGCCTCACACAGGGAGATTGTTAATTCATGACAACTGGCACCAAGAGCCTGGGGAACTCGGGACCAGTAAGTGGTGTTAGGTAACTTTCTACTGACCCTGCCTCAGCACACACACAAACCAGTACAAGGGAGGGTTAAGTCTAAACATGAAAGGTCAGGTGCTAAAGCTTTCAGGCGGCAGAGTGAAGAATATCTTCACGATCTTGAGGTAAGGAGACTTTTCTTAAATTGAGTATAAAAAGTATTAAAGGTAAAGGAAATTAACAATCTTTATGTTAAGATCAGTAATGTCAATCGGAGGTACTCTTAAGAGCAGGAAAAAGCAAGCTATCGCGGGGGAGAAGTTATGTATACACATGTAAGTGATAACTCATCCGTAATTTATAAAGAGCTCCTGTAAATCAATAAGATAACCCCATTAAAAATGTGTCTTAAATTTATGAAAAGGTCAAAGTTAAAAACCCCAATGATACATTACATCCTAACAGGATAACTAAAATTTTAGGGTCACTAAAATTTTAAAGACGGACAGCAGCAAATGTTGGTGAGGATATGAGAAGGTGAGAATTCTCCTGTGCTGCTGGTCAAAGGTGTACTGGAGCAGCTGCTTTGGAAGCTGGTAGGCAGTGACTGATGCTGAATTTAGGAACACTTTGACCCAGCATTTCCTCTTCTAGGCACATGCCCAACAGAAATGCATTTCGAGGTCCACCAAGTGTCACTCACAATAGCTAGAGTTCCCTGGGAGGAAGCAGGAGTGATTGGAAGAGGCCCCAAGAGCATCTTCTGGGATACTAGCAGTGTTCTTTGTTCTCCACGTGGTTGGTGGTGACATGGGTGTATTCATTCTAATGATGATTTATCATGCTGTTCATTCATGATTTCTGTACTTTTTTTTTATGTTTGTCATATTGTAATAAAATAGTATAATTTAAAATCTTGTTTAAAGAAATAAAAGACAAAAGCTGGTAGGGGAAGAAGAGTTGGGAAGTAGTGTAAATATTACGATTTCTCCATTCTTTATAGTCAGGCATCAAAAGATAGTGTTTAAAGCTCATAAATCAAGTAAAACAGGCATAAATATGTTAAATGATGTTAAAGATACAAATGTGAATATGTTATCTTAAAGTTGGATGGCCAAGGAAGGAGGATAGTAATCATTGTGTTGGTGTTGATGCCATTCAGAGAAATAGGTGATGAAAAGTGACACCACTAAAAGATATACATGAATCCTCCAGGTTATCAGAAGAAATACAGACTACAAAGTAAAAGATGACCACTGTCAGATAAGCTGGAAAGCATGTCATAAATATGAAGACAGAACTAAGAGCAGATGTATCGTCAGACCAATAAAGGCGACTGGGTTAAACACGTATAATAAAAGGACTCTCAGTAAAGGATCGTGTTTGGTTGGTACCCCTAGGTAGGTGGACAGATGGCTTGTAGCTGAGCTGACTTTTCAGAGCACAGACCTGCTAGTTGGGAAGTTCTGGTATTAAAAAGACACTCAAAACAGAGTGATGTAGAAAGCTTATGAAAAAAACAACGGACAGGACATACAAAGCAAATTGAATTCTTCAAAGAAAAGCAGGTTGTGATTCAGAGCACAAACAGTAAACGAGAAGAAGGATGCCTTGGAATGATAAAAACATGCAAGTCACAATGAAGATAGAAAACAGGGAGGGCTTCTTACAAGTATCAAAGAGTATAGTGTCAGTATTCATTAAAAAAAAAAAAGCCAGTAAATATTAATGTAAGTAGAAATGGATTGAAACACATTAATATTAGAATATAATTCAGTTTCTCGCAGACTGTGAAGGATCAACTACACATAAATAAGGACATAATTATTAAAGTCTATAGCCCTTAATGCCTATATAAATAAACTGGAGAGAACAAAAGTAAGTAAACTAAACATCCTACTCAAGAAGTTGGAAAAGTGGCAATAAAGGAAACCTGAAGAAAGGCGGAGGTGGCCAGTCCCCAGGCAGCATGTTCCCTTCTGCCAGCTGTGTGGTCAGTTACAGATGGACTTCCTCAGTCCAGACGTTTTCTGTTGCACCACTGCACTCAACTAGTCTTTAAAAAAAAAGCCAAAGGGCATAATTAGTAAAGATGAGAGCAAAAATTAATGAATTAGAAAATAGAAAGCTAGTAAAATCCAAGAGCTGGCCCTTTTTGGGGGATGAGGGATGGTGGGAAATAAAATAAGCTATAACTTACTATGTGGCCAGTAATGGGAAGAGAAGGTGCAAATACATGTGGAAAAATGTTCTCCTTTGCTCAGCTCTATGGAAATAAATCTGTATACATGAAGGAAATGAATGATTTTCTAGAGATTTCCAAAATTGCAGAAGAGAAAGCAAATCCTAAACGGAACAATTACTAGAGAAGAAATAAGTTATTGAAGGGCTGTGCCACCCAAAAGCAGCACGTCAGCTGTGCTGAGAAAGTCTCCCGAACCCGTTGTCAGGGGTCACGCTGGTGCTTCGTGAGTTATTCCAAGTTGCGGGCAAGGACAGTTTCCACATTCTGTTCAGGAAGCATCCGGAGGCTGGTGTCAACTCATAAAGAAAAAACAAATCTGGATTATAAATATTGATGGAGAAATCTTATGTAAAATATGAGTGAACAACATCTAGTGGAATTTAAAATTTACTAAGACTAGGATTTATTTCAGGAGTGAAAAGGCTCAGTAAATATATAATAGTAATGTAATTCACCGTACTTGATAAAAAGAAAAGTATTCAATGATAATTCCTATATATGCTAGCTGAAGAGGCATTTAGTCAAATTCACCATTGATTAAAAACAATCTTAAAATTAGAAATATATGGATATATCTCCAATACAAAAAAATGCATCATATTAGGGAAATAGCAAACATTCTCGTTAAAGCAAGGTTTAAGGGGTGCCAGTGCTTGCACCATTGGCTCCAGCTGTGTGTTTATTGTCTGTATAAGAAATGATGCGGCGCGACTGGAGGACATTACAGGATCGTGATAGCAAGACTGATTTGGTTGTGATGAATTATATAAGTTGTTACATGTTTTACAATGTAACACAATAGTTATTAAAAACAATGAGGCAATTCTTGCTATGCTCAAAGGTATTCATATGAAATAATTCCAAGATACATTGTTAATTGAAAAAACTGAGCTAGAGAGCAATTTGGCATGAGAAATTATCATAAAAGTTTTTAACAGTAGAGAAGGGCATCGAAAGTATATGTCTCGCCACTCCTAACATGTCCCTTCTCAGTCCCACTCTACAAATAGTTCTCCAATCGAGGTTTTAATTCCATTTGGGGCTTTTGATTCTTCAGGGCCAGTGGGGAGTGACAGCAGCAGAGGAAGAGGAGGAGGAGAAGAGGGTTCAAGAATTCAAGGAATCTATACCAAAAATGTGTTCACAGTTGCGGATATTAACACATTTCTACCAGGTACGTATCAGTGTGAAATTGCTGCCCAAACCACGTTGCCTGTTTTCTGTAACTGACAGTTGCTTTCAAAATGATTAGAGGTGGATCCGCGCCGTCAGTTTGGCGCTTATATGTATAGATGTGAGTGGTGCCCGTGGGAGGTTCCCACCTTGGCTGCACGCTGGAACCCCTGCAATACCCTGTGGCGGTTGGCTCTGCGGCAGTGCACATGTGCAGCCAGGGTGCAAGCCCAGGAGGGGGTCCCCGCTGTCCACCCGTGGGGGTACCCCTGCTGGAGACAGCTGACCCCACGACGGATGCCCAGCCCAGACAGCGATGGCAGCCGGGTGAGATGTGCATGGACTTTGGGGCTTGGGGGCTGTGCTATGTGTCTGTTCGCTCTGCTTGCATTTCCGTTTCTGAGGGTCTGGTTTCTCATTTCTTCCTTTTCCCTGTGCATGTTTTTTTTTTTTTTTTTTTTT